ATGAAATTTTGTATACCTTCAATCGGTGCTTGTTGCTTGTTGTTGTTCTACAGCTCGTTATCATTCTTGTTCTTGTTGTTGTTGTTGTTGAAAAAAAAAGTAACCCGCCCGATGAAAATGAAAACACGAAACATAACAGCAAGACAAAACGCCGGCTAAAGGCAAAAGAAGGAACAGGCAAAGTAACCAAAAACGCGCTGCGCAATTTCTTCGAGTTGCTTTTTGTTGTTGTTCCAGCTTCTTTCTTTGCAGCCTCTGCTTCCTCTTCCACTTGCCTTCTCGCTTGCGCGAGAGAATCAAACACAAATTGAGACCCGAAGAAGCCGGCGCTTGGGAAACATCGAAATTTCAACACTGTTCGGTCTTGAGAGCAAAACAATTAAAAAGAGAACGAAAAATCAGAGTAAATAAATATCAAATTCAATTCGAGCTAAGCTAAAAAAAAATTGTGTAAATCAATAGATTAAAGATATTTGTATAATGGGAACTCGTTTATTTCAAATAGAACCCAATTAACATAAGCGAAAATATTTATTTTTTCTTTTCTAATCTAATTGTTTATAAGTTTCGGAGAGGCTTATGATATTCTATACTAGAAACTGACCTATTCCAAGCGGATTCCAATTGTGACGCAACTTGTTTAGTGTTTATGAAGCTGATTTGTAATATTGTGTAAGGCATAGAAACAATTGTATGTGGTTGATAGGTAGACTATATATAGAGTGGGTTATCGCTCGAACCCGATGGCAGACAACGGCGCTTGTTTGCAACAATTGATTCTGCGAGCAGCTGCAGTTCAGAAGAGTTCTTATCACTGGGCTCTAGTTTTGTTTTATTATAGATTTACGATCTATATATATAATTATATATGTACTACAATTTCATTGCAATCAAGAACAACAACGTTTATAAAAAACAACATGTATTTTTATCAGATCAAATATGAAAGGTGAAAAGACACTTAGACCGTTTTAGTAGAGTTGACAGAGCTTAAGTGCTTCAGAAAATTTGATTAGATTAATAAATTTACAAAAATATTTCATATATTTGTGTACATTTTCTATTACTGTAGCACTAAATCAACGAGTTAATATTTGCTTTTATTTAATGATCTTCAGTTCCGTTCAGACTGCTAATTGAAAATGATTTCCTCTGTGGTTGCTGACTTCTCGTTATGAGGGGGGTCTATAAATAAATCGCGGTCAGGCGCTATCCTCTATACTATGTTGATTTCCAGAGCATTTTAACACATCTCTCCTTCTCTCTCTCTCTCCCTCTAACGCGCTCTGGCTCATTTTCTTTCTTTTTTGCACTCGAAGCGAAATCGAAAATAAACAAAATTCAAAATTTTGTCAAAAATTTCGCTGCGACTTTTACGTCACGAAATCGCCGCAAATGCGGCGCCTGCTGCCATTAATCAAATCTCTTTGGCTCAATTCTTATTTTTCTGCTTCTGCTTCTTCCTCTTCGTCAGCAAACGAAAACAACATCTAGGTATACAGGTGGAGATCGTAAATGTAAAAATAACAGCGAAACATTTGCCGGCATTTGTTGAAAGGCAAATTCAATGTGCCTCAACTGTTTTTCTTTATAACAAATTCGAAAAGTAATTAAACTACCTCATAATATATACATACATATGATTATGTACATATTGTTTAAATGCAAATGTTGATCTCAACTTTAACGTTTTTCCAAGCGAAACTGTAAACAAGTTTTTAAATTACATTTTATAATTTTTTTGATTTTAATTGCTGAAAACCTTTTGCTTTTGTTTTGTAGACATATATTTGTTGTTTTTATATTTTTTACGTGAAGTTCATAGTCGTTTGTAATTTTTATGAATTTTCCCTCACTTTTATGCACTTTCCACAATATTTTGCCAAGAGATTTTTTCACTTCACGCAACGTTTTATTTTACTTTAGTTTATTTGGCATTGTTTATTAACAATAAAATGGCAGTTTAAAATGCTCGTTCATGCATATTTATAGCCCGCGAGGCAATATCAAATATTTTTGTTGATTTTGTTGTACGAAAACCACTTTAGAAAATCAAGTTTGATGAACATTCAAAGTTTTCTTTGTTGGATATATTTTTGTTTTTCTCTTTTTGATTGTGATTTTAAAATGTTGTTGATTATGATAATGTGCTGTGGCTAGTTATTAATGAATGACGCGTTAAACTATGCAAGCATTTAACATTCTTCAATAATGAATTTTCAGAATTTTTGTTTCTTTCTTCTTCTTTTTTGGCAAGAAATCGTTCTCGAATTCGTCAACAGTTCACGTGTGATCACTGACACGTCCAACGCGGCCGGCGATTAAAATTAAACTGAAAGTCGCGCCGATGTTGTCGCCATGTGGCCAAGCCAAACCGCTGCCTGCGCACACAAACACACTCCCTCTCGCACACAGACACTTATTAGGGTATATAGAGTACGTGCATGTGTATCTGTGTGCCAAACCGGCAAGGCATGTGCTAGCCTGTGTGTGTATGCGTGTTTTATATATGTAACCGTGGAAAAAGGTGAGCACAACAAAAAGTCAAGCGAGTAATGCGCACGTAAGAGCCAAAAAAGACGGCATGCGGTCTGTACGCAGCGAGCGAACTGTTAAACAATGTAGGCGTGGCACGATGCTAGCTAATGTGTATTTATCAAATGTACGACGAGGTTTTGATGCTGTTATGTACTTAAACGGCCTTCGCTGTTAACTAACAGCGCTATGTAGACGACTGCCTTACTAATATTTTTGCTAAATTTTGTTTTGTGCCCGTCAAACGAGCAATTGACCTTTACTGTTGTTTAACAGCCTACACTTATTTACAATTAATTTTCTGTTAGTTCGCTGTTAATATGTATATTTCATGTTTTTGGTCGATTGCTAATGTTATTTTGTGTTTTCTTACAACACGCAATTCTTGCTTTCCATGCATTTTTATTTACATTTGCGCGCTTTTAATTTGATTCTTGTTTGTGTGCGCTGCGTCACGTAGACAACAGCAGCCGACTCTAGGTGGTGGGTGAGCCAGAAGAAAAAAGTAACATACGAAAAGCGCCCTTACATTATCTATGCTCTCCCGCGCTCTCGACTATCATATCGCTCTCTCGCTATGTATGTAGCTCTCTGACTGTTCTAGTTTGATATGCTGCCTGTGCGTGCTTGCGGTTGTGTTAGTGTGGAGGCCTAACACACTTTCGCTTATGAATGGCTTACTATAATTGAAAACAGACAACAACTCACGCCCACATACATATATATGTATGTACACATACTGCGTCTGCTACTGAATCGCTGCCTTCAAAATCAATGCCGGTTAATTGTGGGGACTGCGCAGCATTTTTCGCCACAGCTTTTTAAAGTCAACAACATGACGACTTATGTATGTATGTATGTGCATATGTAAATACATACATATGCATACATATGTTCAAGCACTCTTTCATACACACTTTTGTGTGTAGATATTCGTATGTGTACATGTCTGTGCATTATTTAATGTAATGTATTTGACGCGCCTCTTGCTGTCATTTGGCCGGTCCGCGCCTTCTCTTTCTCTCACGCTTTGCACATGATTTGCGATTACGTCATGGCCAGACACTTGATACGCAGCCGGCAACGAACAAAACAAGAAAAGCATGCGAAAACAATTGCAAAGCCCAAAAAAAATAAAATGCAAGGCAACAACCACAATAAAGGCAACTTAGAATGAGTGGAAGAGACAGAGAAGGGGAATACCGAGCGCCTGCACGCACCAGGTGGTATGTACAAAGTTGTTTTTGTTATTGTACCCTGACATTGACAGTGCAAGCCACATAAGCATAAGCAGGAGCAGCAGCAACAACTGCAGCCCATGTATACATGCATACAAATGCCCCTATGTGTATGTAAAAGCCGCAGTCAAGGCTTCACAGGAAAAAAAATTGCAAAAACTTTCAAGGTCAAAAAAAGGGTAAACATACAAAAGCAAAGACCAAACTGCATCAACAGTTAGTTTTAAGTCTCACTCATTCTCTCTCACAGCTCCCGCTCCTGTTTTAATGTTGCTGAGAGTGAGAGTGCCAGTGCAAGTGCATAGGCGTTGAGTGGGTTGATCTCTTACATGGTATTTCGCATTGTGCGCGCACAAGAATACATACATACAAATGTATGCCCATCTCCTTCACTCCGATGTCTGCTGTGAGTCACAAGACTTTTCGAGTTGGTTTTAATTCATTATTCTGTTTTTGTTTTTCTCTCGGTCTTTTGTCTCTTGTCGGTGCTTACGGTTATGACCAGTAGTTGCATAATCCATATTTATACAGTTGTCACACTTTGGTGTTCATATCTATGTATGTATGTTTGCTTGTTTGTTTTGAACAATGTTAATAAGAGCAAAGCACTTCAAATGCAAATACTCACAAAATTAACTGTTTCTCTTGACAACCTTTTCTGATTCACTTCTATTTAAGGCGCTCAGCTCAAATTTAAACAATATCACAAACAAACAACACAGACTCGAATATCTACCCCATTTGCATTTACTTATTTTTGTATGCTTATATGTATGTATGCATGTAATATGTAAAATGCATGGCGGAGCAAGACGAAACATAAAAGCTGTTTAGCACTGCTGGGCAGAATATGTTCCCCTCCCCTTCGCACACCTTTGCCCATTGCGATAATACAATTTCAGGTTTTACACATCATTTAGTTATTTTTGGTGTTTTTTGCCGTTTGTTTATTTGTTTTACTTGCCGCTGTTTACTTTATTTATATTACATACATGACATGTATGTGTGTAAATAGATGTGTATTTTTTTATTTTCAAAGCCAAGGTTATTTTGGTTTGCTGCTTAATGATTAGCATGAGCTACGCTTTAATTCAAAACGCAAACAGAATTAATTAATGTAAATGCTAACAGTTGCTGTAAAATAAATGTTTATTTAAAACCTGGGCACTTGCTGCATTAAATTAACATAACTAAATAAAGAATAATTTTTGTTTGTTTTGTACTCACTTTGCACAGCCAACTGTTGTTGATGCGCTGCAACACGCTGTAAATAGAAATTAAGAGAATATTTACTTTAGCATATTTAAAAAATATCGTTACATATAACTACAAATATGTTAAAGTTGCTGTAGCTTTCAAAAATTGCGCGTAATTAACAGTGCATTTAGTGTGTACACAAACCATTATGAATTTAACAGAGCACTGTTACAATTAACCCAACTGTTATGCTGACCTCTTAAATGAACCCAGACAATGTATAATTTAATTTTTCTATGCATATATGTTATTAATTATTATCTTACATTGGCACTCGCTATCATATTACGCAGTCCGTGGGCTTGCAGTGTTTGCACGTCTAGCGATTGGCTGCGACCGCGCTGTGTTTTGGTTGTGGGTGAGGTGGGGGGCGGGCCGGTGGTCGATGTGTTTGAGTGGGTGTGGCGATACAACCAACGCTTTACAGCAGACATTTTGTTGCAATTTTTATTGTTCACTTAAATATTACAATTAAGCTAAGTATGCACAGCCGGTAAATGTAGACATAAATGCTTTACATTGTGCGCAACATTGGCTCCACAGTTAACAGGAGCAGCACTGTTAGGCGTGCATACACGCTGCTACTGTGCGCTAGGTGGCGCTAGCAGCAGAAGAGCCGCTCTTTTTTTCTATTTATGATTTTTTTTTTTTAATTTTATTTTTTTTTTTCACTTTTGGTTGTTGATCGTATTTTTAAAAATTTTACTGCAAATGCAATATTTAAATATATGTTTTAATTGGATGTTCTTATAAATCTGCGAAATTTGCGTATTGTTGTTTGTGTTTTGCTCATCAAAATTATATATTTTTTGTATAATTTGTAATTATAGGCGCTTGTTGCGGGCTGTTTTTTCTTTCTTCATTCTTTTTTTTTGAGGAAGCGACAAGTAAATGAAATAATTGTTGACGATCGCACAGAAAGGTGCACAATAAAAATATATGTATGTGCATATGTAAAAAATAAAAATTCGGCCTCTGACCATGAAAATGTCATCGTCTTTGTTCGGGAGTGATTTACAGAATTCGTCCATGTTAAATACATACACACGCATGGTTGCATGTACACTCATGTTAATAAACACACACACACTTAGATGCACTCTTTGGGTCACAAATTAATCCTTGACCCTCTCGCAAGCTTTTAATTAAAAGAAAAAAAAAGAGAGGCAGAGCGAAAAAAGAACACAGAGAAGACGATGAGCAGCAGTAACGGCTTGTGACGCATTCAAAGTTTATTCATTGCACAGCGCTTGCATGCTTAGGGGGCGTGGCGCATTGGCTTGATTGACTTTGGTGTGTCGCATAATTGAAAAAAGAAAGAAAAAAAAAGAAGAGAAACAGAAATAAAATTGATTGAAAGGTAAAAAGCAAACAAACTGACCCAATATTGATGCGAATTGAAATGCTAGAATAACACATGCGAGAGAGCAGAAGAAGAGAGCACGCTGTAAGACCAGGCAAGAGATCAAAGGTGAGTCTCAAGTATAATTGCCTAAGAGGGAAGAATATAATTACCCAATATAAAGAGCCAAGAGATAATAAAAGTACTTCAGACAGCGGTCATTAATAAATAGAAACAGCCAATCAGGACAATTGAGGAACTTGCATAAAGAGAGAATGTACCAACTCTACTCCAGGCTGGCTGAGAGAATGTACCAGCTTTAGATTCAGCTTATACTGTAAGAGTTATGGATTAGTGATATTGCTGCGTGTTCAGTGCTTCTATTATACACTTTCTGTATTTTTAGTTTAGCCAAACAATTCCTAAAAAATGAGGCATGTTTCTCAATAAATTCAAGAATATAAAATATTGCAAAATACAGCACCAAATTTATGTGTATTGAGCGCAAACACGTTTAATAAATAAAATCCCACAGAGAACTATTTTTAACACAAATTTGAGGCTTTACGTTATTTGTCCATTTGGGACTTGTGCTTATTTATTATTATTATTATTATTCTGTTGTGTTTTATGTCGATTTCGTATTATTGTGCTGTTCTTTCTTGTTTTTTTTTTTTTCATCATCGAGCTGTCTATCTAGTTGAGCAATAAGTATTTTGTAGCTGGCTGTATTTGCGGAGCGACAGCCTTTAGTTTATATTATTCTAGTCAATATTTGTGCAAAGTTCTGCTCGGAAAATTAATGAAAAACAAAAAACTACAATATGAAAATATGTGCAGGAGCGAAAACGAACGAAATAAGCAAAGCAAGTGAGAAGCAAACAAATTGCTAAATACATGAAAGCTAATTAGACAACACCGAAAGCCGTCAGAATGTTGGCAACAAATTTACAACTGGAGACTGAGAGGCCCATTTAACGATCAGACATTGCTAGCAATTATGCAATAAGAAAAACCCTAGGCCGATTGGGAAAATTGAGACTTATAGCAAGATAGGCTTTAAAGAAAAATATTTAAAATACATATATATCCATAATATCTGTAAGCCTTTCCGCTAAACTTAATTTCCCGACTAAAAACCAAACAAATGCGAAATATTTTCGACTTTTTGTTAGCTTTAAAGCTTTAAACTTAAGTCCTAACATAAAGCATTAAGAGCCGCACATAAAGCTAGCTATTCATCAACTTAAAGCTCGCTTAAGCCAAAGCTTATTTCATTGAGCCAATCTATAAATGTTTAAACATAATTCTAGCATCAACTAAATAAATGAAGCAAAAAGCATTCGCTTTTGTTTTTATTATTTTTTCTATTATATGTACAAACGTCTAAACTATATCTATTAGTTAATACCATATGAAGAATATGTGGAAATGACAGCAGAAAGCAGAAAGTGCACAAATATGTAGCGAACGTCGTCGCAGTCGCCGTCAAGTGGTTGACCTTTAGACGTGTGCAATAAAAATAAATAAATAAATCTGTGAAAAAGATTGTGGCTGGCGTATATCTCATATAGGGAAACGGAGACAGCAACTAAAACAGAAACAGAAACAGAAAAATCTGACAAATGATTAATTAACAATTAACTACAAAGGAAAACAAAATACACAACTATTTAAGTATTTCACGTTTTCTTTTGCTTTTAGTATTCTTTCCTATATTCAATTGCCCGAAAAAAGTCATTTGAACTGTAAGTAGCTAATTTCTAAGTGAGAGTTAAGCCAAATTTCATTTCCTCTTAAATTCCAGTCGAGCAGTGGGCGTGATTTATATACCCTGTAGTAATGGGGCAAGGGATAGAGTAACTGCTTTCATTTAAATTATATATTATATATAGTAAACTAATATTTTTATATTTATAGCATATAGAGTTTTTCCTATAAGATTACTAGAATATGCGGAAAGCTTCTTTTAACTATTTTATAACTATTCTCATCTATGTTAAAACTTATTTATAGCACTCACTATGCATTTTACAAATTGAGATTAGTTAGGCATAGGGATAGACAGACACAAGATATAGCTTAAATTCACTTAAGTGCACATATAAAAAGCTCTGAAGATCGTAAACTTAGTTTCATTTTCAGGAACTGCTCGACTAGAATATACCCTGAACCATGACAGATCTGCTGTTTTAGTTACAGTGTTCATGTATTCAAAGAATTCTTTTGATATTTGATAGATTATAATATGTTTTTCTTTAAGAGATTATATAATTTATGGCGTCTATCATTTCCATTTTCATTGGGCTTTTATCAGTGAATAAAAACTCGGTAATGTTTGCTTTAATTCGTTTTATATGGAAAATAACGTTGTGTGTATTGTCATTCCAGGAAGTTTAGCCATTTCACTAATTTTATATTTAAATACCATAATATATGTTATATATATATAATATATATATGTATATACCTGTTACCTGTAGCTCTCATTTGGTATTAATAACCGTATCTTATCGGCCTAGTAGTCTAAATTAAAATTTCTTCTTTTCAAGTATTTCTATTTACCGAAAGATAAAAAAGGCGACTTTGATAACATTTGCGAGCGCGCCCACTAATAATGAATATAACTGTAACTGTAACTGATTATATAATAGTTATAGTTGAATGCGCCCTGAAGGTCTTGGGTGAATAGAAAAGAAAAACAGAAAATTACCAAGGATTGTCAGTTCATGTTTGGGAATTTCGCCCAAACAGCTGCGCGACTTCAGAGCGTGTCGAACTATTTTGACAGTTTTGTTAGCCAGCGAGATAATTGAGTGGGCACAAATCCGATACATAGAAACAATGTATTCGGACATTCCATTTAACATATTTTTGTGGCTGTATGAGTAAAAATTTCCTCTAAAAGGAAACAAAAATAAATAAATAAATATTGTACAAACTGTCTGTAGAACATTTACGATTGCCAGATATTTAGACAGACGACAGATAGTACAAAGATTAGAGCTCCACTTCAAAACAACACTATCTCTAGAACTTAAAAAAAAGACTCGAGCACAACAAATTTATAAGGAAACAAATAAACTGATTGTACATATCTGTATAATTGTGTTTAATTATTGGTCATATTTCAGCTGGAAGTTCTATTGAATTCGAGCTAAGAAATATTCTAAGGATAAGACAAAGATGTATGGCCGGGAAGAGTTACACATTTTACATTAGGATTCAAATCTACCAAAGTCGATTGAATTTTCGGATAAATCACTTAAGGTTTCGAAGTTTATGAAAGCGAGTAAAAGTAAATCTTTATGGAATGCCAACGATAGCGCATATAAGGCCAAAGAAAATCATATTGAGTGAAAAATTCATTTAGTTATTGAAATTTAGCAACTGACAGTGAAACGCTTATAAAAAGTAACCACAGCATAAGAGCAAATAGAAATCAACGAAGTTCTTCATGAAAATTGTACTTAACATAACTAAAATTCTATTCCTCCTCTTAAGCTCTTCTCGATTATACAAATCTCATATGATATCGCAACTCATGTATCAATTGAACGACATATAAAAAGGCAAATCGAAAATCGACAAATGCTTTCAGTACTTTATCAAAATATAGCCATATCATATGCAGGTGGGCTCGACAATTAAACTAGAGAGTACTCAGATCGAAGAGAGGGAGAGAGATAGCGAGTTAGCTGACTGGAAAGAGTAGGCAATGTGGCCCTAGTTAGACATTTGATAAATTAGCAACTAAGAAAAAAGCTTAAAATATTAAGCGGAACAAAGCAAAATACAAAAGGAAAAAAAATATTAACAAATTTTTGTGAATACGATAATAGGGTAGCGAGAATGGCAACAATAATAACACACACAAACACACGCACACACATACACACATACTTTGATACATGCGATCACATGTTTGCCATTTGTTTTTGCTGACAGTTTTTGTTATTGTTTTTACCTAATATAAATTTGTTTTATTTTTTGGCTTAGCTCATTTCCATGTGCCTAATATTTGATAATTTAATAAAATAAATTTAAATTATTATACATAATCTCTGCTCGAGGGGGCGTGGGCAATAGCCAACGGCATTGAACTTGAATGCAATTTGGGAATATGCGCGGGAAAGCTATACACAAAAAAAATTGCTTCAAATAGTTGCAATTAGCAGGCGGAAAATTAGAATATTGTAAATGAAAAGGAATATCAATTAAAATGTAAATTTGTTCTGTTTAGCAGCTAAATAAATTGCATTTGTCAACTACTATAATTCGTGTTTATCATGCAAATGTTTTGTTTATTATTCAATTGCTTTCTAAATTTGTTTTCTTTTGTGTTTTTTAATAAGAGCATTTGTTTATTTGTTTTATTTTTGAATTTCATTTTATTTAACAACTGTAGCTTTGGCGTATTATTAAACAATTTTCTTTATATTTTTGATTTATTTTTGCGCTCGATATTCGATTATTATTTCACTTTTTACGCATTTCGTATATATTTTAGATTCATTTCATATTTTACGTTACATTTTATTGAAACACAAATTGAGCTTGATTTTTTATTCTCTTGCTAATTTCTATTTCATTAGCCGAAAACAAACACAACAAAACACGCGCGGATTTATTTGAATTTATTGCGATATTTATTAAAAAACAAATGCTTGAGCATTGCCTGCCAAAATTCTTATTGGGCAGGGAATGACGCGCGTGTCGCTCGGCCGGCACAGTCCAATTCGAAATGCAATTGGAAATAAACACAGAAAGCGCAGCGTGCGAAAGAAGACGGCAGAATGAAATGACGGCGACGACATCAACGACAACGGCAATGTCGACGCTAACGTATACGTAATACGTGTGCTTCCATCTGTGTGAGTGTGTTTGTTTGTGTCACTTTTCCGCAAAGCCCAAAAATTGTAAGACAAGTGCGAGCGCTCACAAAGCAAACAGAAATGGAGAGTGAGAGAGAAAGAGAGTGGGAGAGAGGATGGGAGAGAGCGTAAGTGAAGAGAAAGCCCATATAGTAAGCTTTTAAGAGTGCTGTTAAAGCGATCACCTGTTGTCACAGCAGTTTCGCTCGCTCTCTCTCTGCTCAGCTTTCTCTTTCAAGGATTTTATGACATGACAGAGCAAATTTGGTATGATAAAATGTAATATGATTTCCACTGTTGTAATAAATACTTGTTTATCGCTGCTGCTGTTTGGCATTGATACGTATCTTAGATTGTGCAAATGGCATAATGCGATGTGTAACAGTGCTTATCAATCGAATCGTGTATCGCATTAGCGATTTATCAGCTGTTGAAATCAAAATTGCTCATGTCTATATTTATAATGAAATTGTGGTGATTACACATGATTCGTTGATAACATGTAGTCTATATAAAATTTCCAGACTGTTTGGCTTTGCTTTCTTTTTTTTTTTCTTGTGCTGCAAGTGTGAGCGATAAGAATTAAAAGTAATTCATTTAAGCACTTAATAGTTCGATTACCCTAATTGCATTATTTAGTTGGGCTTTAATTATTAGTCTCTACAAATAATGTGTAAAGTCGTAGAGAAGTTTGTGGACCTAACAGAAATGCTGGCTCTCAACTTCCACACAGATTCGCTTTATATTACTAAAAATTTTGCTGTTTTTTTTTAATATCATACAAGAGATTATTTATTTATCTTTAATAATGTTTGCATGCTTTAATTTTTTCAAGTTAATATGGTAATTTTTCTTTAAATTTGACGCATTTTATATTTTATTTTCAACGGCTGTTAACTAACAGCACGATATTAGATAACATACAGTATGCTGTTAACAAGTTGTGCTGCTGACTAACAGAAGGCGATTGGTTTGTGTACCTACTAAGCAACCACGCAAACTGTTAAATTTAGCCGTGACACAACTAACTAGAGACCAGCTGCATATGAACATATGCTAAGTTTGAACCACACGTGATTTAAATTTTTGTAACCCTAATCAGATTTTAAAAATTACTAAGGATTTCGTTTCCTATTATTTAAATAACGCAATTCTGCATTATTAACAGATTGTTATCGTGTAACATGTGTAACAAGTAACATGTGCCGCCACAATAAATGTTAAGTTTAGTCGTGACACTCACCGCTTTGCGTTTGTCCGCCTCGCTGACCGCTGAATTTGAACGATGTCGAAACAGATCCATCACCTTGGTCATCGGCGATCGCTGGTTGGCGTTGGCATGCGGACGCACAGCGGTGACCGTGTGGTAATACTGCGGATAGACAAATATACATATAGATTGAGCTGATTGAGATTGGCCTGAACTAGGCTGTGCACCCACCTGTGCATCGCTGCCCTGATGCGGATGCGCGCTGCCATCTTTGTACTTGCTCTTGGCGGAGGAGCCATCGGCATTGGTTATCGTCACGGCGGGATGCTGCTTATGGCCAAAGTGCTGCATGGCCACTTTCATGGAATTCATGAGGCCGCCAGCGCCCGTTGAGCTCGTCGTGCCAGCTGCAGCTCCGGTTGCTGTTCCCGCTGCTGCTGCTGAGGATGGTGCCGTTCCGCCGGACACGGAATATGTGCTGCTGGTGGCGCTGCTGTCCGCCGACGATGGATCCAGCAGATTCTTATCCTTGTGCCGCTTGGCATCCGACTTGGCGCGCGGCCTAAACACATCGAAGATCGTGGGTCGGCGATTTGGTGAGGCAATTCCATGGACCGTCGACTGATTGAGCACGGGCGAGTCCTCGCCACTGCGCCGCCGTTCCAGCGAGCCTGAGCGCGATCCGCCGCTGCCCACCATGCGTTCCGTGCTGCGTGAGATCTTCTCGCTGTGGCGATTCAGCTTCTCCAGCTTCGCTGTCTCGCGCTCAATGCGACGCGCCGTCTCCCGCTCCAGTTTGCGTGCCTCCTTCTCGCGACGCGATTGCTCCTTCTCCTGGCGGCTGTGAGTGGAGAGGAATACAGTTAATCTCTGTACATTCAGAATACTTCATTCAAGTACTCACCGCTGCTCCTTCTCCATCTTCTTGTAGGCCTTCTTGGCCGCCTTGCCGTTGGGCTCGGCGGGCGCGCTGGAGGGCCGGGAGCCGGGCACACGGGGCACTCCATCCTGTTCCTGAAAGCGAACATGACGTTTTAGAGTCGGATTCGGTTTGATTACATGATCTCTTGGCCTATCAATATCCGCTGTCATATCTTCCGATTGCTGCATTGTGGCTGCCAGCGCAGCCCAACACAAACTGAGCCGCAAAGCGGACGCAATGAAAGATGTACAACTAAGGAATAGATAACGCCACCCATAGTGCTAGCGTTTATCCTGTGTGTGCTGCAATTATGCCGAATTGTCTACAAATACAATTTGTGACCCAACCCAAACCCTCCCTGAACGCAAGCAAAAGAATCAACACAAGACGCAATTCGCATAGCAAACAACAACAAAAACAACAAGAACAACAGTAACAAAAGCAGCAACAGTTCACGCGTATCGAGTGTGTTTTATTAATTGAACAATTCCTGTGGCGCACTTTAATCGAATTTAATCAATTTATGAATTACGCAAAAATTGCAGCAGTCGGGGCAGCTGGTTGTGAAACTTGCTAATGGTGAGTTGCCAAGGCAGCGGTCAGATTCGATACCACAAGGTTTGCGTCTAGACTAAGCTGAACTGAATGAATGTGAATGAAGATAAGAGCGGGAGAGCAACAGCTACATACACATGTATGTATGGCTGGCAGCCAAGCGAATTGCGCACAGAGTAAATCAACAGTTAAATTGCCAATGAGCCAGTGAGAATGGCCAATCGAAAAGGAGCAAATGCTTAATTATTATTTAATTTCTAGTAAGAAATGATTTTAATAAGAGTTATTCTTGGGGGTTTTGCACATACATATATAAAATACGCTACTTTATATGAATGATAAATTTGATTCAGTCCAACATTTCGAAGACGAATCGCACTTCTATGAGAGCTACGAATCTGATTTTAGCTTCTGAAGTTAGTTTCATCACATCGATGTTTAGGAATATATTTTTATTTAGTAATAAACATATAGAACTAAAATTGTACCATGTTATTATTAATAGAGGTATTTATAGCAATATTAGAAGCTTCGCAGCAATAATGACAATTTATAATTAATGAGAATTATGTAATAGAACAACATTTAAAAATGTTGTGAATATATACAAATCTATTTAAATATATATGTAGTTGTATGGCTTTATCTATCTTCAACGTTAACTTAAAAAAAAACCCAAATTGCTCACTTCCGTTATCTATGTTAGCTTTTAGTGCTTCTAGCAATTTGTTTGGGTGCGTTTAATTACACGACCTTTTCGACAACTTTCACAAGCTGCCCAAAAAGCCAAGTGGCTCGGCTTCGATTGGGCCCTCAGACAGTCACACAGACAGACAGACATACAGACACACACACAGGTAGGCGGACAGACAGACACCTGTATTTGATTTATTTTTAGCAAACTATTCAGCAGCAATTTCACAGTCAACAAGTCAACACAATATTTTATTTTATTTTATTTTTTATTGTTGTTGTTGTTGTTGTGGCTGGTTTTCGACATTTTTGCACTTTGCCAAATCACGTGCCCGCAGGCCCGATCAATATACAAATTGTTGGATTTGTTGTTGCTGTTGTTGTTGCGCGATGAGCTAACAACAGCGCCAAATTAATGGATGGCATTAAAAGTATTCGAGCAATCGAGTATTCCAATGATTCCGTTGATTCCAATAAGTAAAGTGGGTAAAATGATGATTAAGGAAAAAATAAACAGAGCCAGCATGGAAAAGGAAAAGCGAATAGTAAATATTGTCTTTCGAAAGGGGTATGCTCTTCTAGACATAGAATTATAAATGTAAAAGAGGGTTATTATAGACTTTATAAGGTAGAGAAACTAGGAGGAAGAAGACAATATATAGAGAGAAACGGATAATGAAATAGTCACATAGAGTATGTGTGTGTGAGAGAGATAGAGAGAGATATATATATAGAGAGAGAGAGAGGTATATAGACATAGAGAGTCAAGAGATTATACATACTTAAGGGCAGAAGCGGAGGCAGACATAGAGAGATATAGAACTATGCAGGGAAAGATGGAAAAGAACAGTCTCAAGGTAAAAATTATTGATATAGCGTAATATAAGAATAAGAGCAACCATCTCGGTAAACTGACCAACAGATGTGTACATCCCCAAGCAAAAGGAAGAGTATACACGAATGAAAACCAGAAGCTCTTCGCGCTTTTATTTGTGTGCTCGGCGTCGTCAGCGTGGGTGGGGCTGAGATTGAGGAGTTGAAGTGTTGCACATCAGCTGTTGGACATTATCTAGCGGCCTAAGCAAATATTTGCCGAAAGCCACAAAAAAAAGAGACATAGAGGGCGAGAGAGGGAGATAAATGATTTGCGATTTGCATGGGGAGGGCAGCTGCTTCATACATATGCAAAGCTAGGAAATATCTTTAATTGGGTGTGGTTAGTGCTCCATTGACGTAATTGTTTGCCCAGACACACACACACTTATATATCCCTAGATCTATAGGCTGGAGCAACAGTCTAGGCAAATAGCGAGAGAGAGAGATATAGTAATATATGGTAATATTCCATATATACCAGTTGCTCATATATTTGCATATAGTGTGAATTCTGAACTGCTTTATGTGCGACTCAATGGCGATTGTTCAGGTTTTCAATATAATACAATATATCTACGTGTATATATGTATATACATACATATACATATTTAAGTATTGTGTATAAGTATATAAGAATGTGCCTCTTCACGAATTGTGTCATTCGTCTGCTGATAAGCTCACGAATTGCAAACGATAAAACAGAAAAAAGCTCGAGAGCAAAGCCTAAAATACAAATATGGCAAAAGGTAAACTTCACATATATTGCACACATACATTCATACATATACATACATATATGCAGACCGTATATAGCGTAAATTATATGCGTGGATCGAGCACATTTTCCGTTGTACGTTCGCTTGTTTACATTTGCGATGAAAAGAAGAAGAAAGAAAGCACAAACACAGGAACAAAGCAACAAATATTGTGAAGAATGCTACGTAAATAACAAGAGATATAGCAACGAATATTGGGTACTCTAATAAAATAGATGACTAACTTTGACTAACTTTTGTTTGAATTCATAATTTATATTTTAAATAATATATGCAAAATTTGTTTAATTTGGTATGCAAGCCTATTGGAAATTCTACATTATCCAAAGTTAGGGTATAATTCATATCTTGATGCGCAAAATGCCAGACAAGAGTCTGGCTGAAGTGCTTGAGTGGCTGAGCTGAAGCATCTGATGAGCAAATGGAAGATGCCAGAGAAAAAACATACTGCAATATTTTATAGATAAATAAATAATTACATCGCGATGATATTTCCATATATATAAATGTATAATAGAAAGTTAATGAAAAAGAAAGTGAATTTTCGATAATGCAACAATCGATTACAAACCCAGACAGATCGATTGTAGATTAAAGACAGCAGAATAACTTTCATCAGACTTTCAGATAAGATAATCATTCAACAGGGCTACAATTAACACTAAATGTCGATAGACAGAAATATCTCAGTTGAAATGCGAAGAAGTTAACGATTAAAGTCAGACTGATCATAGATATAGATATTAGTGTTAGTATAACAACAATATCGAAAGTCAACAAATAGATCTAAAAATAAATCAATTGACAGAAATATGTGACATTTTAGATTCAATAATAATCAAGAGTATGACAAAATAGACCTCAGCTAATTTCCTTAAAATCTGTTATCTTCCGCTTTCTATAAAACCCTGCATCGAGACAATATTGACTCATGACTAGGCACAACTCAGATTTAATTCGTTTCATTTGTACTGAAATATCGCGAATTTTAAAAGACGAAATGACGTCAGTACACGAAGTGTGAATTGACAGATAAAACAAGACTCTGAACTCAGCGCATCGACGACATTTTATAGACTTTGTTTTCTCTCTGCTTGAAATGATACTGAAAAAGGTTTTTTACTTTTTCTACTGTTTTCTTTGTAGTTTACATGATTCGCTAATTTGATTTGATTTATGTGACTTTTGTGCTACTTTTAGCAGGTACTTTTTGTTCGTGTTCTTTGCTTTGGAAATTTATTGGTTGCTGCGCAGATTATCGATAAGATTTGAGCAGAACCACTAACCAGAGATTAGTGGTGGAGCCCCGTTCGGGTGGGATCTATTATAGTTTCTGTACTATTTGCCTAGTTTTTCAACTTGCAATTAATACATTTCAGACGGCTATGAATTGTTAGAGAAAAATATAATTTCATATTTAATTTCCATTTGGTTTTGGCATTCCAGACTATTTGAAAAATATATTAATATACACGCGAATGAATGAGCAAAGTTTTGACGATTGACGCAAAAGTAATCGACGTTATAAATGTTATAGTAAACAATATTTATAGCTATATGGCAAGGGTAGTTATTACATTGTCGAGCTATAAACATATTCCTTAGTGTTATCTTGTAAATATCTTAAACGGATATACAAGATACAGATAAGAAATGACGAACAAATAAAAATAGTGAAAGAAGATCTTCATATAAGATCAGTTAAGCTATTCGGGGACATTCATTTAATGGTTTCTGTTACAGTTTTCTAGGCCAGCTGCTTCCCCTTAAAATCTGTATTTAGGGCCCAACTTACATCTTCGGACACAGACACCGAGACCGAACCGGAGTTGGTCAATTGACGGGATGGACTGCTCGCCGAGTTGCTGCTCTCGTTGCGCAGCATGAGCCGTGGCATTGTGGAGGCGCTGCCCAATGACACGGATCGCGCTGCAGGCACTGAGCCAGCTGGAGCAGTGCCGTCTGCTGGCAAGGCTGGAGTACGCCGTATCCAGATGTCGTCCAGCTCGCGTTCGCTGGGCGTGCGCGGCTTGTTGGCCAGGCTGCTGTTGGCGTTGGTATCACAATTGAGACTTTGGCTGGTGCTGCTAGGGGCGTTGAGCGAGAGATTGCTCTGCGAGGGTGCGCGTATCTCGACCAGGGACGAGTCGAAGAACTGCTTTGAGAGATGCGGCGTAGCGGCTGGAAATCGATTGCTGCCATACCGCTGCGAGAACAGGCCCTGCACAGAGGAGTAGCCGCCGAAGCTGGAGGGGAAGCTAATTGTTTGCGCGTTGGCGCTCGGCTTCAGCTCACGCAGCTGCTGCGCCTCGACGCGCAGCTCGGGCGTCTCCTGGGCGCGCGTCACCTTGAACTTGCCGCGAATGATGAGCGGCGGCTCGGCAGCTTGTGGCAGCTGCAAGGGAGCAAGAGTGGGACTTGTGGGCGTTGCAGGCGCTGCCACAGCGGCCGCTGCCGGCTTGGGCACGGCCACCTCTGGCTCGCTGGGCTGCAGCAGCTCCTTCAAGGCCTTGGGCAATATGGTGGCCGGTATGGGCGGCGGCGGTGGCGGAGGCGGCGGTGGCAACGACGTGTACTGCTCCTCAATGTTGCGCGTATTGATGCGATCGATTTTGTGCATAAACTGTTGCCGCAAACGCTCCAAGTCCTTGAATTTCTCCTTGGAGGCGGCATCCTGCGGCGTGGGCGGACGTGGCGGCGCCTTCGAGACGCGGTCGAAGCGCGGCGCCTCGCCCCCATTGGCGCCCACTGGCGGCGACTTGTCACCGCTCTCATCCTCATCATCCTCCTCCTTGCACTGCGACAGGCGTCGCCGCTCAATGAACGGAGGCAACAGATAGGCGGGGCGCTGATGGTAGATGTCGTAGCGTCCGTCGCTCGCCCGTGTGAACTTGGCGCTCAGATTGAGGGCGCCCACCTCCACATCGCCGTCATCATCAGCGTCGTCGTTCTCGTCGTCGCTGCTGGAGCCGCTGCTGCTTTGGAAATCAAAGGAATTGGCACGTGACAATTCCGGCTGCGGCTGCAGTTCCTCATGGGGCGTCCGCTGTTGACTGTACTGCAGGCCATCGATGCCGGCCAGCTGGGATAAGCTGGAGGCGGACGAGTCTGTGGCCAGGCCATTGGCGCTCTCCTCCGAGTCCGATTCGTAGCCATCGCACAGCGCCTGCTCCAAGTTGTCCATGGTGGACTCAAAGGCGCACTCAAAGCAATCCATTTCAGTGTTCAGACAGAGCTCCGGTTCCGCCTCCGGCTCCGTCCGCTGCTGTTGGATTTGCTCCTCTTCTCGAATCGGTTCGTTAGCCTGCTCTTTGCCATTTGGCTTCTCCTCGTGCTTGCTCATCGTTGAGGCATTGGAGCCGTTGCTCCTTGTGGCCTCGTCTGCTGCGGCTGCTATCGTTGTCTTTGCGATCTGCTGCTGTTTCACATTATCCTCGTTGTAGTCGCAGTTTGTGGCCATTTGCGATTTGCTCGATTGGTCCGCTCTTTGGATGCACCTAGCTTCAGATTCGTTAGCTTCTCTTTATGGCGGACTTGAGTCAGTTCGTTATACAACTGATTGTGTGTGTGTGTAGGGCGACATTGAGTTTTAGTATTTGGGGAATCTGTAAAAGAATTGGCATATTCGTATTCGAATTCGTGACTACATGACGTTTTGTAGCCCTTAGCTTTCGTTTGTGTTGATATGAGAAAGGGAAAGAGCGAGAGCGTAGTTGAGACCGAGAGGGAATACCATACATATGTATTCTCAATTTATATATTTAGCATACAAAAGATCGATTTTTTTTATATTGAAAGTTTTTTAGATTATTAAAGATATTTTAACTTCAATTATATTAATTTGATAGCAATAATTGCTAATTCTGTTTGTTCTAGAAATTTTCTAGCATTAAAAATGTCTAGTGGGACTATTAAATTGTAGTTATTTTTTTTTTATAGATAAGATAAGACCATCTACAACTGGCCATGCCTAAAGTACTTAGTTACTTACTTAAAAAAGAAAATCAAACAACCTCAACATATTGTCAGCCTTAAAGATACTTTTGTATCTGACGAAGCGGCGCACAACAGAGACCGAAAAAAGCCGCACGAGGTGAAGGTCGACAAACAACGGGGCAAAGCGTTTGGAAAATGCCAATTTGTGTATCAGTTTTTTTTTTGTTTTTGCTGTTTTTTTTTCATCTTATTTTGGATTGCTTTTTTGCGGCCAGTTCGAACCGAGCTATTTAATACACAGACCAAACAGAAGCAGAAAAAAAACGAAAGAAAAGAAATAAATACAAAACGCAGACAACAACAACAACAATTATTGCTGTGCATATATTTGCGTATGGGCTGAAAGAGCAAAACAAAGCGCTAACAAAGCTAATTCAATTATTTACGCGTCGTCAAAACGAGAAAAAATAAAATAGAAATAAGTGAGAGAGAGCGAGAGAGGGAGAGAAAGAGAGTGACAGAGAGAGCGAGAGTGAGCGAATAACAAGACGGCAACAAAGGAGAGGAACAAGAAAATGCTAACATATGGCAAATATTTTGAAGCTTACATATGCACACACATCTGTACATAAATACATACATATATCTCGTGCACCTTTGCCTGTGCGAAGAACCGAAACCCAAAGTATATAAACAAAAGTAAAACATAAATTAAAGAAAATAAACATCAGTGAGTCAGAAGTTGTCGTTCGAATGAAAGAATTGGAAAAACATTTGGATTTTATACAATCGCAAAGAATTTGCTAGAGATCTAGAGAGGTGCCATGAAGCAGGATTTTCCCAGATATATTTATAGAAAAATATTTTAAATTTAATGCAAAAGTTGTGAGCTTTAAAGCAAATTAAGCATTTGTTAAATGTGAGCATTAATAGATAGAGCATAAATCAATTATAACTAACAAAACAAAAAGGATTCAACAGTTGTTCATTGACGTAAAATATATACATATATTAGAGAAATATAATATTATTTATTTTTTTTACAACCCAACATTACTTTTCATTCACTTAGAATCCATCATAACTAAGCAGATATATTTTCGAAACTCAATAAAATATCATTTGTCATTGCTAAAGCATGATTTATTCATAGTATATTTACAAGGGAGGCCCACCAGTTGACTGCTGTCAAGTCGGCAAAAGATACAAGTTCATTCGAATCGCTGCACTGCAATTCAATATAATATGAGGTCTAAGCATTGGGGCGTGACATTTTGCATAGCGAAAAACCAAACCGCAATCGAGCAAAATAAATGCAAGCGATACAACCGACAATTATTAGCAATTAGATATGTATTCCTTGCACAGGGGCAGGCGCTGGGGTAGGGGCAGGGTGGCATCATTTATTCAAGTTTTGTGGTATTTTAGTAAAACATATTTTGCGGTCGGGCGGGGCGGCATGACTCAAATAGATGTCGATTAAACTGAATAATTTAAGCATAACGCTCGGACTGCGGCTATGCGTCAGATGCTTTTCCAAAATGCCGAACGATGCTAATTGTGCGCAAACAACTATAAGCACATATAGAGAGAGAGAGAGATAGCGAGAGATAGAGAGAGACATAGACACACACTTGCGAATTAAGTGGAAATCGTAATGCTATTTCATCTGAAACCGAATCGCTCAGTAACAATTATTCGTTTCCATTTGAGCTGAGCGCGTGTCGTGAGTAAGCACGATTCGCTATTTTATATCGAACGTTGAGCACTTGCGGTACTTAAAAGTTCTTGCTGATTTAACAAGCTTATGTATTTATAGCATAGCATAAAAATCTAGATATTAAGTAATTTGCTATTTAAGCTTAATGTAAATTTATTTCAAATCAAAATTGATCGGAAGAGAATAGAGTTGAGCAAGTATTATAATAGATTACCATATTATTTCATATTCATTATACGATTCATATCTCCAAGACTTCTCTTTTTAAGACTTTTCTTACCTAGGCTACCTACTGGTCAGCCCCCGAAAAATAAGAATCAATTTCCCAGATATATATAAAATATAATTGAAAGCTGTAGAGGAAATCAACTTTTGTTTTTAGCACGCATATCGTCAAGTAAACTTATTTAACACATCTCTAAGAGCAAGTCTGTAGATATAGTATATGGTATACGGCGGACAGCTGTTCCGGTCTTTTAATTACACGCCATTAACAATTGCAACAACCACAAATAATTGCTGGCAAATCGAACGTCATGTAACGGCTATTAACTAGTTGCTATTTACTATTAATCAATGGCGCGCATCTAGATAGTGTTATACATATATACTAAGTCACAGATTGGCAAACGGCCAGACAAGCTGGCGACTTTTGTTGCATTTAAGCCAGGTTAAAGTATACAAATTCAAGTAAAAACTTGAATTTGAATTAAATAATAAATATACCTACATATATTGCAATGCAAAAATATAGGGAACACCCCTGCTGTACGTGTTCGCCGACCTTTTGTTTGCTGCCTCGCATTCTCGTCTTCGTGTTACAAACTATTTCAGCTCAATTTCAAAGGCTTTGAATGTGAATATGTATGCAATTACAAATATTTCGAGTGCTGACATTAAATTATGGCAGTCACGTAATTAAAATAATTCTCGAATCGAGAAGAACAACAACGAGTTGAGTGTAAAATTCAACAATTAATTATAAATGGCATTCGAATAAACAAACACAAAATAATATGCAAATAAATATTTAATGGAATAAGATGAGCTCTAAAGTGTTGCTCTGATCGATGATCTATTAATTTGAATGCCATGTAAATAGAATAATTGAAAACATGTATTCAAACAGTTGGCTTTGGAGCCATGAGTGGGCTGTGTGTGCAAATGATGTAAGACATTCAGCTAACGAAGGCTTATGCAATCGCCGAGAATCGCTGAGTACAGCACGTGAATGAATGATTCACGGGAATCGATACCGAATGTCTCTAGATGCTGCCGGCCAGAGAAACTAATCAATTAACGATCGAGTTCAAAATGTTAAACAGGGCGTGCCAAGATCTTCTACACAAAACGGCAAGAGTTACAAACAAAGAGATGGCTTTGTAAATTCATTAATTAAAATATGTTGAAATTAGCAGAGCGATGCAAAAATTAGTAGGCGTGGATGTTGGCAATTTGCTAGATGATCGTTAATTGGCATAAAGTGCCGACAGCTGAGCCAACGGAGCCACGAAGAGCTAATCAAATGGAATGCCAGCTGCCGAGCTCAACAAATCAAACCGATCTATACATAATTATTATAATTATAATTAGCATGCCTCCAAATGAGCAAAGTATGAGCAGAGCATTAGATAAAATCAGATATATCTACGCGAAAATTGAATAAATAATAATATTTAAATTATATTCTTCTTAATGGTTTTTATGTTTTATCATCTTCAGCAGTTATTATTCCTTAAATGTGTTAATGTCTCTTTATATAGAAATGCCCAAGTGTGAGTTCTGATTAATTAATAGCCAATTTATTTTATTTATTTATTTTTTTTCTCGCAGCTTTTTTTTAAATATATACTCTGAATATATCAAATATTTAATCAGCGCAGTCTATTTGTTTCCTCAAATTACTTTCTACTTCATTGGAATCGTTATTTAAGAATATATTTATTATCTTGTTCGACTGGTTTCGTGAAATCTCTGAGAGATCTAAACGACTTCGATATGTGATATATGAAATGGTTTGGACCATAAATATCAGCTCACTCCCATATTTCAAGTTCAGTTCAGTCAAACAAAAAATACGCAAATTTTGTATTATCACAAATTATATAAATATTTATTATTGAATTTCAGAGTTAAGATTTGAAAAAGGGCATCTATGTATGTAGTAGAATAAGTTTCCATAGAGAGACATAAAATTAAATATGGTATGCTTTAAACCCCATTGTTGATGGCATCATAAAATAAACTGTATATTGTAGAATTTTTCAATAATTAGTAAATATGTTTCTCAAGTTGAAAAGGTACTAAATATTGAATGCAGCGCCGCTCAGTAATTGGCTGAAAAATAATGATTTGCTCAGCTGAAATGCACGAGTCAATTTAGAGGTCGTATCGGGGTCTGAGTCTGAGAGTTTGGCATTAACTTTGGTTGGGTTGTCAAGCGCATTTACGAGTATTTAGATACATATTTTTTGCCTTTTTTTTTTTATTTGTTTGGTTTCGCTCAACTCGTTTTTCTGTGTCACTTTAAAAGGCATTTGTGGCCCTCCCTCTCACTCTCTCTGTCTCGCTCTAACTATCTCTCTTGAGTCGGATCGACGTCAGCGTCACGTGTTTATTTTTTGCCATTGTCTGGATTTCATTTTCGCTATCGTTTTCATGTTTAATGCAGTTTCGATTTCTGTTTATGTCGCGCCAAGCGACAATTTAACGAATGCTAACCTAAAAAAAGTCCCACCCAGTTACGACGAGCAAATCTATGATATAATATACGCACACATATGCATGTACTATATGAGACAACGTGTAGAAGTAACAAAACTGTATATCAGTTTGCATCAGCGTGCGCTCAACTGAGTCGAGCTCTAAAAAACGTTTCAATAATTGCTGCAAAATGGCGAACATTTGGAGGGAAGTATGTAAATGTTATAAGTGAGACAAGGGGCACTA